GGCGCCGTCGTGCGCGGCGAGCTTGAGCAGCTGCGCGCCGCTGGCACCGTCGAACACGTAGGCGGAGCCCGACGCGTAGCCGAGGTCGTCGTCCCAGTATGCGCCCACCGCCACCCGGGCCCCGTCCGAGCTCATGGCCACCGCCCTGCCGAACTCGTCGCCCGCGGCCCCGTCCTCCGCCGCGAGCCTGAGCAGCTGCGCGCCCGTGGCCCCGTCGAAGACGTACGCGGAACCCAGGCCCTCGTGCAGATAGGCCCCGACCGCGACCCGAGACCCGTCGGAACTCACGGACACCGATCTGCCGAACATGTCGCCCGCGGCCCCGTCCCCCGCCGCGAGCTGGAGCAACTGCGCGCCGGTGGCCCCGTCGAAGACGTACGCGGAGCCGGAGTCGGAGCCCAAGTTGGCCCCCACCGCCACGCGGGACCCGTCGGAACTCACAGCCACCGATACGCCGAACCTGTCGCTTGCAGCCCCGTCCTCCGCCGCGAGCTTCAGTAACTGCGCGCCAGTAGCCCCGTCGAACACGTACGTGGCGCCAGAGTCGGAGCCCCGGTCGTCATCCCAATAGGCTCCAACCACCACCCTGGCCCCATCAGAGCTTACCGCCACTGACCTGCCGAACCTGTCGCCCGCGGCCCCGTCCTCCGCGGCAAGCAGGAATAACTGCGCTCCGGAGGCTCCGTCAAAGACGTACGCGCAGCCGGACGCGGAGCCCAGGTTGTCGTCCATATACGCCCCAACCACCACTCGGGACCCGTCGGAACTCATGGCAATCGAGATTCCGAAGCGGTCGCCCGCGTTCCCGTCACGCGCCGCCAACTTGAGCAACTGCACGCCGGTGGCGCCGTCGAACACGTACGCGCCGCCGGAGCCGGAGCCAACGTCGTCGTCCCCAAAGACACCAACCGCCACGCGAGACCCATCGGAGCTCATAGCCACCGACCAGCCGAACCAATCGTCGGCGGCTCCGTCCTTTGCTGCGAGCTTCAACAGCTGAGCCTGCGCGGTGCAGCGCTGCACGAGAAGGAGCTGCTGGAAGAATACGAGCAAGAGCCAAGATCTCCACGATAGAAGCCTCTTTGCGACGCCCCCGCAAGTGACCACTGGATATGCGCTTTGCCGGGGTGACCGGGCATCCTCCTGAGCAACTGACAGCATCATCGGCTCTTCCGAAGTAGGATGACCCTGTCTGCACTTGCCGCTGGCCACCATCAGTGCCGACGAAGAGCCAGTCTGCAGCGCACAAAACTTGCTTGCGGGCCTCTGCACGCTCTCCGCGCCCGCTGGCGACCGCCCGCTCCGATTCCACCGCGCCCTCGGAACCCGTTTCGGACCGTGGCTGCGTCGCCTTCGCCGCAGGCCGTGGCTCTCCTTATGATGCGCTGTGGCCGCTGCCTCGTCCGAGAGTCCCTGCTCTGATGTATCGCCAGTCTCTGCCTTTGCGGCCATGTCCTCGCACCCAGCGCGGTCGGCTGCAGCTATCGAGTCCGCCAGCGTGTCTTCAAAATCCGCCTTGCTCCCCGCAGTATTAGCTATCTCGTCCGCCAGCTCTTCGTCGGATGCCTTTCCCGAACCCTGCCTGGTCCAGAACCGCTCAGCTGCATCCTCGGTCTGCACACTGCGAGGTGCCATGGTGCCCTGCTTTGCCCTTGTTGCCACTTGGTTGAAAGGGGCCAGCAGACCACCTAAGTGGGCTGCTTCAAGGCAGTCGGCGGTGTGCCAAACCCGTCGTTTACGACGAACGAAATCAGCACCGCTCAAAAGCCGCGCATAGCAACTCTTCAAGATAATGTCCCGATTCGCAGAAAGCTGCTTGAGCGATACGTCAAATAAGCAAGTCATTGATGAGGAAAGAGGCAGGATGCTGAAGGAAGCATGGAATGATGGTGGCGAGAAAAAAGTGTAAGACGGGTGAAGAGGAGGAGGGAGGAGGCGATGAATAGATAAGCCAAGCTCAGGTATCATCCCAAGGATGTCATGAGGCATGCTATGCTGTGATGCGACTGTGCAACGCCATCCAGTGGCGCAATGGCATCCACTGACATGCGAGGCATGTCTGAAATTACCCAGGTACCCTGTCAGGCGTGTGCTTCAAGCCAGTTCACTTCAAGGCGACATAGTTCAATGCAGTTCAAATGAGAGCTATACAAAGCAATGCTGTTCACAAGACCAATGCGCTGCAAAGTAATGCAGCGCAGCTCAGTACGATGTCACGCAAAGAGGTGCCAACCAATTACATGCAAATTAAGGTCATACAAACCATTGCAAACAATGCAATCCAATGCGAAACACACACACATGTGCCGTAAATGAATGCAATACGGTCCAGCTGCAGCGAAGTCAAACGCATCAGAGAAAAGGCGAAACGCAACACAATAGAAGGTGACGCAATATAACGCACTGCAACGCAGCGCAATGCAATTCGCAGCAAACAAAACAGTGCGACTCAGGCGACGCCACGCCGTGCCTAAAATCGCACAGCAATCAAGACGCACCAACATGTGACGCAATGGACAATAATGTAAAGCAGGCGGCGCAAAGTAAAGCAACTGAAGCACAGAGCAATGAAAGGCACAGCACGTCACCACAACACAACATGTCAACTGACAGAACGTCTCCGGGGACACGCAGGAGCAAACTGAGGAGCCCTGGGAACCCCGTGGGCACAACAGCGCCGACCATACACCAGCACCAGTCCGAGGCAGGCTCATCCTGGGCCCAAGACCCGAAGATGCACCATCCTGGCCATTCTAGGGGGACGCATCGACCGCTCGCCATCGCTCGGACGTCCATTCCCCGTGCATTCTTCGGCTCCGTGCGTGTATTTTTCGCACGAGGACTCAAGATGCTCCTCGATGAACCTCGCCCGAGAACAACGGCGCTCGTCCGAGCGATGCCAAGATCGACTCTTGGGCCCAGGCAGAGGCCTGGCGATGATGAGCGTCGGTGCGTAGCTGGTGTCACCCAACCTGGGAGCCCCCGCGAAACCACCAGGGGACCCGCTGGGTGTATAGGTAGCGCCGTCCAACAGAGGAGCCTGCAACGAACCCCAAGGGAGCCCCCGCGACATGGATGCAAAAACCGCTGGGCCTCCTGCATCTTGAAGCGTTATTGGAGCGTCCTGGGGGCCTCTCGGGGGCTACTCGTCCGCCTTGAGGCCATCTTGGGGTATCTTGGGGCCTATCGCGCCGCTCTCGTCGCCGACTCGTGCTCCGCGGAGCTGTTTTGGGGCAGCTGGGGGGAGGCCCAGGAGGCCCCGCATGGGGGTGTGCTCGAAACGGGGGATGGAATCTGGGAAAGGGGGTCCTGGCCCGGGGCCACGGGGCCCGGCACTCTGGCATATGGTATGCACATGTGCAGTCGGTGCGGCGTCCCAGGCGTCCCCGTCCGGAGACGTGAGCTCGCCACGCTCCGTTGTCTGGCCAGACGTGGGCGCGCAGACGACTCCAGCGACAGGCTCAGGAAGTTCGCAGAGGACGCCGAGAACAGCAGCGGGAGCACGAGCCCACAGAGAGAGAGGCAGCGAGAGAACGAGAGAGAGAGAGGGGGTCGGATAACTGGGGTTCGGGCCGCTCGCGGAGACCACCGTCGCACGCGCTTCATCTCCACTCAGACCTCGGAGGAAGGCATGGAGAGGAGGGTGACAAAAAAACGAGGGCTGCCTGCCAGAATCCCATCACACGCCTCCCCCTCCTGGCCTCAGGTCGGGCCTGCCCCCCGAATTACAAGGGAATTTTGGGAGACAAACTAAAAATACGCATAAAATACTCCCGAAACGCCCAAGACTAGTCTTAAAATCGTCCCCTGACTATTTCTGGACTATATTTGACTATTCTTGACTTACCCAAGGAAGAGAGGCAAGCCCAAACAAGCATGGGCTAAATGCTTGTACAACTTACTCTCTGCACGTTTCCGTGATGATGAACTGCTCTTGCAATGTTTGGAAGACCCAATTCAGTGCAGAGCAGCGGCAAATGCAATTCTACGCCCAGAAGGGGCAAGCGACCATCTGTAACATACTTCTTCCTTTTTAGCGCCCGGTCGCCCTGGCAGGAAACGCACGCGGCACCGTACATGGTGCTCTCCTGGCCCCTGCTTCATCCTTCTCCTCCTCCTCTTCTTCTACCTCTTGTGCTTTATCCGGCTGCTCGCGGCATTTTCCTTGATCCCGCGTCGAGCATGCTAGACTGGCATATGGTTTTCTGTCTGTCTGTCTGCCTCCTGTACAGGGACAGGCCCGACTTAATCCTGGCCGCGGCCCGTGGCCCGAGGCGAGCCTGGACACCCGCGCCGCGGGACCTGCACGCAAGGGGGTGGGCATCGGCCCTGCCCCGGTGCGCAGGGCCGTGCTCGAGGTTGCAGCGGGAAGCTGACCTCAGGTCGGGCATGTCCCCCTACAGGCGGATTCTGGTCGAAGGAGAAAGTCAAACAGTATTCAACGATAGCCAGACAGAGGAGATTCAAAACATCGTCCTACGACTACTTTTGTACTATTTTTGAATATCCCTCCTGTAGAAGGACACGCCCAACTTAATCATAACGTCGACCCCCTAAAATCTCGACCCATTCCCCAGGACCGGTTTTCCTTCCTGGGTCGCTTTGTTGACGGTCCCGGGGCCCGGGAAGGGCCCCCCGGAGGCAGACAGGAAAGAAAAACCTACCGCCGTAATTTGTTCATGACCCGAGGGCGTCTGGGTCTGGGGGTTGGGCCATTGCTGTATGAAAACATTGCTTTTAGTACTACTACTAGTCTTCTTGTTACTATTATTTTTGGTAGCATCATTAGTCCCAGTATTATTGTCATCGTTCGTATGGTTATTATTTTTCTTATTGTGATAATTACTGTTATTATTATCATTATTATTAGTATAAAGTATTAGTAGTGTTATCGTTATTAGTTATTACTTCGTGTTCTTCGTATTATTATGATTATATCACTAGTATGCATCGGGAGTCGGGAGTCTGGGCAGCCCGCGGCGCGGGCGGCTCGCAGTCGCCTGCCCCGCCGGGGCGCGCCGCGCCGCGGCCCTGGGTGGCACTTCCTGCGATGCGAGGGGGCGAGCGCGTACGTGCTCGTCGTCGTCGTCGTCGTCGTTGTTGCTGTCGTCGTCGTCGTCGCCGTCGTCGTCGTCGTTGCTGTCGTCGACGTCGTCATTGCTGTCGTCGTCGTCGTCATTGCTGTCGTCGTCGTCGTCGCTGTCGTCGTCGTCGTCGTCCTTGTCGTCGTCGTCGTCATCTTGTTGCAGCGCAGTGGCAGCAGGCCGAGCCTCGACGCGGGAAGCGAGGGCCAGGGCCGGCCAGGGGCTGCGAGGGCCCGAGGCCGTCTCCGACATAGTCAGCCCGCCCCGCGTGGCTCGCCAACCCGCCAAGGAGGACTTACCCCCCCGAAACCCCGATTCTCGAAGAGGAGGCTGAGCAAGGGGAGGATGAGGAGGGCCTCCTCCTCCTCCTTCCACTCCTCCTCCTCCTTCTTCTCCTCTCATCCTCCTCCTCCTCCTCAACATTCTTCTCCTCCTCCTCATCCTCATCAACATCAGCATAGTCAACATGATGATGAGCATCATCATCATCATCATCATCATCATCATCATCATCATCAGCATTTGCATCAGCATCAGCATCATCATCATAATCATCATCATCAGCATCATCATCAGCATCGTCATCATCATAATCATCATCTCATCACCACCATCATCAGCAGCATCGCCATCATCATCATCAGCAGCAGCATCAGCATTGGTGCTCAAGAAACAGCCCAGTCAGCAGATCATAATAATTAATGGGCTCTCGGATCGATCGCCAGGGCTGGCTTTCGCCTTCACGAAGTGCTTGCGGGGTTCGAGTCTGCCGCCGGAGAATTCTGACCTACGTATTACGTGATGCTCCTCCCGGCAAAAACAGACGGTTACTTTGAGCAGATTGTCCTGGGTTGTCGCGCATAGTGCCGCGACGGTTGTACACTTGCGGTGGGAGTTGTTTCTGTTCGGCATTCAACTCTGCGTTGTCTTACCGATGCGCACGCGTGGAGAGGTACATGAGCCGTTTTTACTGAAATGAATACCATTGAGCGCGCGCGAGATTACTCCCTTGCCAGGGCATGGTCGCTGGGTATCCGGTTCAGGCAAAGCATGGCGGTAATACGGTTCGCAAGTTGCGCGTCTGGCCGTGTGTCTTAAGCACGTGTTGGAATATGCTGAAATTTCACCTCCACTGCACGTGTATACTTGGCTTTGATGCCGTTCATTCCTTTGCATTCAACGACAGCGTCGGTCCCAGACTGCAGGTAGTAGGAGGAACGGGGGCTAAGAGCCAACCTGCACCCTATTCCCTGCAGCCTGGGCGTATTTCACATTGAAAACCGTTGTCGTGTCGAATCGTCAGCTCCGTAGGTAACGTAGGTAACGATCTCTTCTTCAGCCGCCTTGTCCGCAAAGCGCGGGACGAAGAGACAACATCTGCACATTGACTTCGCATCGCCTCCAATTTCTTCTGCATTGTCGCCTGCGGCATGGAGCTCAGGGGGCGGCTTGGTGCAGGTCCTGGTGGCTCAGGGGGGGTCTAGTTCTTGCTCGCTTACATGCTCCTCTTGGCGGTCACTCTTCCCTCTCAATGCTCCTCCTCACTGTGCCCCTCATCCACCTCCAACTATATATCTTGTTCCCCCTCCTCATTCTCCGCCTCCTCCTCCTCATCTAGCTCCTCTCGGTCCTCCTCCTCCTCCTCCTCCTCCTCCTCCCCTCCTCATCTTCTTGCCATCGCTCGGACGTCCATTCCAGGAGCATCTGTTGGTGTCGTGCGTGTTATTATTGCTCGATGATCCAGGATGCTCCTCAATGGTCCTCGCCGAGGGAAAAATAAACGCACACACGCACATACACGTCCGAGCGATGCTAGGTCTTGCTCCCCCGCCGTGTGGTCCTCCTCATCCCCCTCCTCCGCCTCTCGGCCCCGACCCTGCCCCATCCCCCTCCTGGCCCTCCCCCCTCCTGGCACCCCCCTCCCCCATGGCGCTGGGGACCCCCCCAAAAAAAACACCGATGCCGCTGCTCCGCGGACCTCTCCCAAAACCTCGCAGCGACTCCGGCGGTGGCGACGAAGGCCTCCCAGGCCCTCGTCGAACGACGACGACGAGGGAGAGGTAGCAGCAGGGGTGCCTCATCCTCCTCTGACCCCAGAGCCCTCCTTGATGGCGTCGCAGTAGGTGGGGTCGGAGCATCGCGCCGCGTCGCCGATACATCGGCGATGCGTCGGCGAGGCGTCGGCGCCGTCGGCGTGGAGACGGTCGGGTTCCACGTCGAGCCGCATCGGCGATGCCATCGGCGATGCGGCGCGCTCCTCCGACCCCACCCTGGGAGGCCTGGAGAGAGAGGCCCCATGGCGGCGCCCCCCTGGCGGCCTCGAGAAGAGCTGGCCCCCGGGGGAAGCCGGCCGCCCCGCGGCCCTCGGCGGCCGTCGGAGGCCCTCGCACGGCGGCCCTCGGCGGCTCTGCGCCGGCTGCCGGCGGCGGCTCTCTGGGCGGCGGCGGCCGCCTCGCAGCGGCGGCGGCCGTTCGGCGATGGCCGTTCGAGGAGCCCCGGGGAGCGCCTGCAGGACGGCGCCCCCGGGGGGAAGCAGCGGGGCGCCACACTGAGGAGCTGCGCGGGAGCGCCCCCCCCCCTGCGAGGGGGAGGGGCCCCCGGGCCCCGTCGAGGGCCCCCGCTCGGGGAGACGCAGGACTCGGGCCCGGGGGGCTCGGCTTGGCCTGACGGGCCCTTCGTGAAACTGACGGGACCCAGTCCGAAACTTGACGCGAGCTCCCGCTGCAGACCTCCCGCGACAACTGGACCGTCAGAACCCAGCACGCGCTCGCCGAAGAGCGTCGGCAAAACCCGAGCTCCGGCGTACTCGAGGCTTACGTTTAGGTCGGGCGTGTCCCCCTACAGGCGGACTTTGGACGAAAAGTTTTAAGTAGTCAAAAAATATTCAACATTCTGCCAAAAGACAGAAAAGGATCGTACCCAAACTATTGTTAGATTTACCCTAGCTATGGTCACAAGATCGCGCCGCCCAAACTATTTTTTTGATGTGTTTGAATGTCCCTCCTGTAGAGGGACAGGCCCGACCAAAGCTTACGTTTCCCCGACTCCCACTCCAGGCGGCTCCTCGGGCCCGCGCGCGCTTGGAGCAGCAGCGCGCGGCGGCCCGGCGCGGTCCAGGGGCCTGCTGCGCGCACGCTGGGCAGCACGGGAAGGGTGGGTGTAGGGGGGCAGTGCTCGGCTCTTCCCGCCCCCCCGTTGTCGGCACTTCTTCCCCCTCCTCCTCCTCCTCCTCCTCTTCTCCTCCTCCTCCTTATCCTCCTTCTCCTCCCTATCCTCCTCGCCTCCTCCTCCTCCCTCCTCCTCCTCCTCCTCATCCTCATCTCATCATCATCATCATCATCATCATCATCATCATCCTCCTTCTCCTCCTCCTCGTCTTCCTCCCCCTCCTCCTCCTCCTTCTCCTCCTCCTCTCCCTCCTCATCCTCCTTATCCTCCTTCTCCTCCCTATCCTCTTGTCCTCCTCCTCCTCCTCATCATCATCATCATCTCCTCTCCTCCTCCTCGTCCTCCCTCCCTCCTCCTCCTCCTCCTCCTCCTCTCCTCCTCCTCCTCCTCTCCCTCCTCCTCCTCCTCCTCCCTCCCTCCTCCTCCTCCTCCTCCTCCTCCTCCTCCTCCTCCTCCTCCTCCTCCTCCTCCTCCTCCTCCTCTCCTCCTCCTCCTCCTCCTCCTCCTCCTCCTCCTCCTCCTCCTCCTCCTCCTCCTCCTCCTCCTCCCCCCCGTTTTTCTGCTCTTCCCCCCCGATCCCTCGCCCCGTCTCGGGCGGGACGGGGGGGTGGGATCGGGGGGAAAAGGGGCCCGGGATCGGGGGGGAACAGGGCCAGTTAAGGAGTTACGGAGTTACTGTTACAGCAAGCGCGGCAACGACCGACACGAGTCAGAGGAGTCGGACAGGGGGGGGGCTGAGGAGGAGGCCCCACCCCGTCCCAAGGCAACGAGCGAGGAGGGGGGAAGGACGGGAGAGGAAGGGGCGAGGGGGGAGGGGGGAGGAGAGTGAATGAGGAGGGTGAAGGAGGAGGAGGAGGAGGAGGAGGAAACGGAGGAAATGCGAATCAAACGACTTTGCGGAATCGAGGGAGGGAGAGGAGGAGGAGGAGGAGGAGGAGGAGGAGGAGGAGGAGGATAAGGAGAAGGAGGAGGAGGAGGAGGAGGAGGAGGAGGAGGATGGAGGAGGAGGAAAACGAGGGGAAGTAGCAAGAGGTGAAGTGGAAAACGAGTTTCCTTTGAGTGTCCGGACGCCCGCAAGATCGGTTGGGGCCAACCTCGGAAACGGCCAAGGGATCCCAAGGCAGGCCAAGGGCCGACGCGGGGCCGCCACGTCTCACCCTGCCGGCGTCGCAGGCCGACGCCGCCGACGGGGTCCGCCGACCCAGGTGAAGACCCTTCTGGATCCTTGCCAGGCTCGGCCCTTCATCGGAGCCAGCGATGAAAACAAATTCTGGGGCGGACGATCACACATACTTTCGCCGGCATGGTTGCCCCAGCAACAGGGGAGGCGGGGAACAGGCCAACGGGTGGCGGACAATCCCGGGCTGTCTGGGGGGTTAGGAAGAGCCCGCGAGGTCGCCAAACTTTGCGAACCAGACCCTTGAAGCATAAAATGTTTTGACCTCCCGCTCCTCCTCCTCCTCCTCCTCCTCCTCCTCCTCCTCCTTCTCCTCCTCCTCCTCCTCCTCCTCCTCCTCCTCCTACCCCCCTCCCGCTGCCCCTCCTCCTCCTCCTCCTCCTCCTGTGCCTCCTCCTCCTCCTCCTCCTGCTCCTCCTACTCCTCCTCCCAGTCGCCGCGGTCGTCCGCGAACACGACTGCTCCGACCAGAAGGACGACGGCGACGACGACAACGACGACCAGGACGGGGATGAGGATGAGGACGAGGATACCGACGACGAGTATACCGACGACGAGGACGACGACGACGAGGATGTGGACTAGGATGTAGACGAGGACGAGGGCAAGGACGAGG